TTGTACACATTCTACGATCTCAAATTCATTCACCCAATTGTCAAGAAATTATTATTATTTTTTTAATATTTTTCTCTTAATCGGTCAACGATTATGACTGATCTTTGAACACAGGATTTTCTTTAACATAATAATTAAATGAGTCAAATTTGTCAATAATATCATCTATGTAGTGTAACATTTTAAATTTTTATGAGACACAATAATAATATTTTGATTAAAAAAAATTCATCAATTTAAAAAATAAGAAAAAGGAGCTACTTAACACATTTATATCGAATATAATTAATTTTAATTTTATTTATTTAATTAATTATCTAATACTAACATGTCTTACACATATCTTGAATCAAAAGTTCAAGACTAATTTTTTTTATCTCTTAATAAAATTCAACGTTAATATATTCTTATAAATTAATAATTTTGTAATAACTTGTATATATGCTGCTCCCCGCTCTCCCTTTTTTTCTCTCTTCCCAAATCTCGTCATTCACTCTTATTTATCTTCACACCTAATAATAAACCCTCAACAACATCTGTCACAACCATCCACTACAGCAAGCCACACCCCTGTTAAAAAAATTGAATCTTGTAGTTAGAGTGTGCCCATCCTAGAACATGCGCTTAATACGAGTTCTTCCATTTGTTTGCCCTTTAAAAGACCCAAATTAAGATCTATCATCTAGCTAGTCCACAAAAAATATTCATAATGGAAATGGGATTGTATCCATTATCATCGAATGTTAGATCTCATTGTATATACCAATAGTGTGACACTATAGTTTATAATTTCTCATATTTGCAGGATATCTTAAGCGCCAAATTAAATTACTCGTGTGAGTAAGCCAATCATGTTTGCTGACATACTTAATATGTTTACTTTCTCAAATACCAAGGCAACCCTGCAATAACATACCCAATTGCAAATAAAGTTGTTTATTAATATCCCAAATATCAATACAAATTACTAAGTGATCCATTCAAACTGAAACATATAATCAAAACCTACAAAGTCCTAGAGTTCTAACATGAGTCATATAAGCATCTCTAACTATTGGCTTAGTTAGGGAGTTTGCAACCATTTGAGCCGCATGTATGCACTTCAATATCACCTTTTTTTACATAATCATATTTCTGGTGCAATGATAACTCAAATTTATGTGTTTGATTCATCTATGATACTTAGAATCCTTAGCGTAAGCTAACGCAATCGTGCTATCCCAACAAATTGTCATCAGACCCAAAATGTGTGTGACAATTCCTAGATGTTAAAGGAACCTTCTTAACCAAACATCTTCTTGTACAACAACACAATAAGTCACATATTCTCCTTTCCATGGTGGATAAAGCTATACAAGATTACTTTTTATTGCTTCACATAATGATCACACTATTAGGTAAGAAAGCATATCTTGATGTGAAGTAGCGTTCATCTACATCATTACTCTAATCGGCACCACTAAAGCCAACCATCTAAAAATCAATAGACTAGTAGCATAAAATATAATCTAAAGTCCCTTTGAGATTGCCTTCCAATAAACTAGTCTAAGATTTGATTAAAAATGACTAATTAGCCCTACTACAGAGCAAACACATCATAACGTGCATTTTGCTACAAATAACACTAGCATAGGGAAAAAGGGCTCATCCATTCTTTTTCCTTCAAGAGTCATAGGACACACCCTAAGGTTTAGGATCTTATTTTTTGCAATAGGAATGTCAATGGGCTTGTAATTTTACATTTGGAATCGTTCAAACACCTTCTTAACGTGAGTCTCTTGAGACAAACTATGAACTATCACTAAGAATCTTAATTCATATAACTTGTTTTGCCCAAATCTTTCATCTTAATTGTCGAGGACAACCACCCCTCAATGGTGGATAACATCTCCATGGGAGTTTGATGAAACCCATGGGAGGTGGATTCAAAAAGTGAGAGATGAGATTTGTAGATAAAAAAACTAATTTACCTAAAAACTCATTCTTCTATTTACCTAATAATGGATATTTTAGTTAATTGAGATATATAATTAGACATAAATCCATGCGCCCTACATGTATTTATATTACTTACCAATTATGAGATTGGATAGAATTTATTTTTTGAATCACATATATAAATCATTGAGTTCACATTTAGAAGAGAATCATGAATGCAATCCAATCCCCTAAAAAAACATTAAAACAAGCCTTTAAGGTACAAACACAGGCCGATTATGAAGCACGAATACGGATACGGATATGGGATACGGGTACGATATGATACAGATACAACGATACGACAAAGTTTAAAAAAGTAGAATACGGGTACGATCAAGATACGACTATAATAAAATATATTTAATATTTTTATTATTTTCAACAAACTTAATACTTATATATTTTGATAGTTCTTTAACATATAATAAGGAAAATTAGTAATTCTTTTACTTTCAAGAAAATATATATCGTGTTGCTGTGGTATATTCACAAAGTAAAGTGACTAATTAAAGGAATCAAAACTAATATTTACCTAGTTTTTAGAAGTAATTTGCGCTAAAATTAAAATGTAATAGCTTTATTTTATACTTTTTTGACATGTAATTGTAGATAATACTTAAAAAATACTCATGTGCCTTTGAAGTAATATAAATTTTTTTATTAATGTATTGTATGATATGTTAATTCAAAAAGAAATTTTAATAGTTCAACTAAAAAATTATATATGTTGTTCGACTACAAAAGTATCCGTGAAGTATCCTAATATTTAATTATTATCGGATACGTAAAAGGTGTATCCGATATGTATCATCGAATATTCAACGAGTATCGTATTCGATACGTGTACGTCAACCTAAACGAAATATCTGTATTTCATAACAGCCACCATTAGGTTAGCCACTAAATACCAAACTGAAATACTTTTAATGTCATGTTCGATTAACATCGAATCAAAACTTTCAAACACTCAAAAAAAGGGTTAATGATACTGGAGATCCTCAAAATATATAATTTTTTTGATTTTGATTCTAATATTTTAATTGTATTATTTTGATTCCTAAGTATTAAATATATTTTTATGTGGTCTCTCTAGCATACGAAATCTAAATTACTAAGTTTTTGATCATAATACTTAAATATTGGCAAAAAATAATTTGATTAGCTTTTGACAAAAAATGTGTAATATGAGTTGCTTTTGACCAAAATTTGGATAGTTTATGATTAAAACTATGTAATTTTAGTAGCTTTTTGTTCAAAATTTTATTTATTTTTGTCTATATTTAAGTATTACATGATAAATTTATAATAAAAAATTATTAACAATTTAGACACTATTTATTTGAGGGACAATATAGAAATATAGTCAATACATGAAAGACTAAAATAATATTATTAAAATATTATAAATCAAAATAAAATAAATCCTATACTTTAGGGACCTTTGTATAATTAACAAAAAAAAAAAAAAAANATATATATCGTGTTGCTGTGGTATATTCACAAAGTAAAGTGACTAATTAAAGGAATCAAAACTAATATTTACCTAGTTTTTAGAAGTAATTTGCGCTAAAATTAAAATGTAATAGCTTTATTTTATACTTTTTTGACATGTAATTGTAGATAATACTTAAAAAATACTCATGTGCCTTTGAAGTAATATAAATTTTTTTATTAATGTATTGTATGATATGTTAATTCAAAAAGAAATTTTAATAGTTCAACTAAAAAATTATATATGTTGTTCGACTACAAAAGTATCCGTGAAGTATCCTAATATTTAATTATTATCGGATACGTAAAAGGTGTATCCGATATGTATCATCGAATATTCAACGAGTATCGTATTCGATACGTGTACGTCAACCTAAACGAAATATCTGTATTTCATAACAGCCACCATTAGGTTAGCCACTAAATACCAAACTGAAATACTTTTAATGTCATGTTCGATTAACATCGAATCAAAACTTTCAAACACTCAAAAAAAGGGTTAATGATACTGGAGATCCTCAAAATATATAATTTTTTTGATTTTGATTCTAATATTTTAATTGTATTATTTTGATTCCTAAGTATTAAATATATTTTTATGTGGTCTCTCTAGCATACGAAATCTAAATTACTAAGTTTTTGATCATAATACTTAAATATTGGCAAAAAATAATTTGATTAGCTTTTGACAAAAAATGTGTAATATGAGTTGCTTTTGACCAAAATTTGGATAGTTTATGATTAAAACTATGTAATTTTAGTAGCTTTTTGTTCAAAATTTTATTTATTTTTGTCTATATTTAAGTATTACATGATAAATTTATAATAAAAAATTATTAACAATTTAGACACTATTTATTTGAGGGACAATATAGAAATATAGTCAATACATGAAAGACTAAAATAATATTATTAAAATATTATAAATCAAAATAAAATAAATCCTATACTTTAGGGACCTTTGTATAATTAACAAAAAAAAAAAAAAAACAAAGGAAAGACAATCAGGGTCCTCAATTACAGTGGTTAGAAAAACTCTTAATCGAAAAAGGATCTTCATCCTTCTCTCTCCGTCTTCTGTCTCCCCAGGTCCCCATCCTGCCTCTGCTCGCCATTTCATATTCTCTCTCTCTCCCCCCATTTCGACATCTGTTCCTTTCTCTCTTCGCTCCCCACTGCGAACAACACACACAGTGACGCTTCCCTCAACCGCCCCGCCACCACTGCAACCCACCCTCTACTGCCACCGATTTGATTAATTTTTCGATTTTGATGCAGAATTCATGTCTGAGCATCAATGGACTGCGACCAAATTAGAGAATTCGTATGATTTGGTTCGAATTGTTTCTGATGCAGATTTTGTTTGATTTTTGTTTATTTTCGATAAATATGTTGTAGACTGTGGGTTCATTCATTACGGAAAATTACTACGTGTAGTTCGTGGTGCAGTGGTGGTGCGATCGTGTGCTGTGTGCAGTGGGTGGCGCGGTGATGGTTGTGGTGCAATGGTGGTTGCTGATGTTAGTGGTTAGTGGTGCAGTGGTGGTGGCGATGGAGATGGTGGAGACTGAGTGTCAAAGATAAAAGAAACGGAAAAGAAAAACATAGGGTATGTTGGTCTATTTTCATTGTCTGCAACCACAAGCTAGATTTGCAGTGTATTTTTTACAGTACTAGAAGTGAACTCATCGAAGTTGAAGGAGGTAATGTGCAACTGTGCCTAGGTTCTAGAGGGGTTTTTTTTTTGTTGGTGTGATCAGTTCTTGCATCATTAGTGGTGAAAATGGGGTTGTTGGCATGATAACAGGTGTCCTGTATTAGCTGGAAATGAGCCGATCTCCATCCTTTTCAGTAAAGTCAGAACCCAATTCAAAGGTTGACGAAAAATGTTTGCAACAATGGGTTGTGGCCTTTTGCATCATTAGGTTTGATCTTGAACAGGGTCAGCTCATAGAAGAATGTTTCCCACCTGGTTGTCTTACCCAAAATGAGGAGCTTGAAGTTGCTTATAGTTCGTTTCCGGATTCTGTTTCCCAGCATCATAACCGCTCAAGCATCCATGATTGCATGTTCTTCTTCCGGATCCAAACGAAGGATAATTCTGAAGCAGCAAAAGTGGTTTCGTCCCAGATAGTTGAAGTAGATAACAATGAAGTGTTCCTAAAGTCAATAGGCGAAAAAGTGCTGAAAAATCCATATAGTAGTCAGAATGGTAACAATTCGAGATACCTATATGGCTTTGTATTTAATAGGCAGAGACATGATGAGAGGCTTAAGCGAGGCGGTGAACAAAAATCAGTGGTAATTCTGTCTCATAGTCCTTACTCTAGTGTGTTTAGACCTCTTTTACAAATCATGGGTCCTCTGTATTTTGATATTGGAAAGAAAGCTCTGGACTATATTGCAGCTTATGTATCAACATGGCCTGGTCCGATGCCTGGTCATCTGATGGAACTAGCAATTGGGAATGCTACACTTAAAGTGAACTTGCCGCCTGCTCATAGTTTGCCCTTAAATAGTGGATTTTTGTTTGAAGAGTCTGCCTCCTCCATGGCTCCACTTCTCCCTACTAATCAGTCAATCCCGCAGGGACTTTTCCATGATTCAGATCTTTTTGGTAGTTTTAGGGGGATACTGTTGCAGCTTTGGGTCTTATGGGAGTTGTTACTTATTGCTGAACCAATTCTTGTCATTGCACCTACACCTCCTCAATGTTGTGAGGCCGTTGCTGGTCTTGTTAGTTTGGTGGCACCACTCCTCTGTAGTGTTGATTTTAGGCCCTATTTCACCATTCATGACCCTGAATTTGCCCGCTTAAACTCACTTAGAGAAGGGGAGACTTTTCCTCCAATGGTTTTGGGTGTTACAAACCTCTTTTTCTTGAAAGCGCTTCGTAATATTCCTCACATTGTTTCGGTTGGAAGCCCTGCTCCTAATTCTAGTCGACCTGCACTAGCTCTTAGGGCTTCAACCAGCAGAGTTCCTGCCAGACCTGAAAGCCTTGGCATTCCAAATCTTTCCTTGAAGAAGTTTTCTCCTTCAAATTTATTGAATGCTGTGAAGTTGAGAAGAGATGGCCCTCTTTGCCTCATGACGGAACACAAGGAAGCCATTTGGAGTACTTATGGTGCAGTCACAAAGCCTGACACTTCTATCTTGAATAGGCTTATTGATGCAGGGATGTCACCAAGGGTTGAGGAGTCAATGTCAGTTGTCAACAATGAGATACTGCGTCGGCATTTCTTGGAGCTTACTACCAACTTTTTGGCCCCATTTGGTCCATATTTTAGACCTACCACACTTTCTGAAGGATCATCCCCATTCGTTGACCCGCCTCCTCTTCCTCCATTCAATGCCGATGAATTCCTTGGAAGTTTATCAGCGAGAGGTCCCGGCAAGTTTCTATCAAAGCGAATGAGATCGAATTGGCTAGACCTGTACAAGTAAACGTTCACCTATTAATTAGTCTATAACAAACTGCTTCTACCGTTTTCTATCTTTGGGCTTGTTTTTTGTGCATTAAAAGTTCTTCATTTGATTCTATTCTTCACTATTAGCAACCCATGGATCAAGTGATTGGCTTCCCATGAGATTGATATGATTTACATGTGTGGACAGGCGGTTCTTCAAAGGAAGCAATTTCAAGCCATGGTTTCAAAGAAAGCGTGCCGTTGCTGAGCAAGAACAACACAGACTGTGGAGGCAAGCCCGAATGAAGACTGATGTACAACATTATATATCTAAAATGTCTGAATTGGAAATTGTTGATTCCTTCAATGCTATTGAGAGACATCTGCTTGGAGAAATGCAGGCAAGTGCTTCTTCCGGTCCTTATTTAATTTATTTAGTTGAGTGTCCTGCGATTTTGTATCAATCTTGGAGCCAGTCTTAAGATGATATATATATGTGTGTGTATTTCAGAGGCTGAGTGTTCCATGATTTGCCATTAATCTTTGAGTGAAACTTGCTATACCTTTAGTTAGTTAATTAAATGGTGGATTCAATAAACAAAAAAGTTTAATTGAAAATATGTTACAAGAACGATACTTCCCATAGGTTGTGGATGACGTGAATTGACATGGATGCTTCGCAGTCACCTTCTTCTTTGATCACCGCTTAATTTTAATAAAAAAACGCCAAACTACATTTTCGGGAGAATTAACAATATATTGTATGTAGATATACTGTGGCAACTCATTAAAGTGATATGTTAAGGTAAAACTTTCAGTGATCCATGCTTTGAGTGCTTTATTTATTTGGTCTCCATTTGTTTCCGAAGTCAATTATGATTCATGTATGATATTTGTTGTGGTAATAAAGACATCATAGCTTTTAGTGATAGAGGATGGAAGACTCACTTGATTTAATCACTGACATTGTTCTCTGGTGTTTTATAAATTTTTTGGTATACAAAATTCACTCCAGAATGTTAATGAACTCAACCTATGCACATGTGGCATAAAAAAAAAGAAAATGAAACAACTATACTAAGAATAGAGAAGGCAAACCCTCAGATAACTACATATAGTCGACAATATAAATTAGAGAAACTAATAATATCAATTAGAGAAAGAAATTTCCTAGTCTGCTTTTAGGATATGCTGATAATATGTAATGGGGGGCTAGAGGATGTTTTTTTACACCAGGTAAATGTACCATGCGCTGTACTAGAATTGATGCATTCTGATGGTGTGATCATATTTTCTAGAGAAAGAGAGATGAAAATGATTCCACAATAGGGAAAAGAAGTGATGAGATTTATGTGCTGATTAGGCAAAATGAATGTCTAGGCAGAATGAATTTTCTTCAAGACCTCTTTTGATTATGTTATTGGGGTATCTATGACATGTGTTGGGCAGCTTGTAGTGTTTTACATGGGAGAGGTCTTAGTGGAAAGGAGAACCCAAAGCTGCATTTAAATTATGCACTATTGTCGTGGCTTCCCCCCGATTGAGAGAAAAAGACACGTACTTCCAGATAGAACATCACCTGCATCCATGTGGCCGGGTGAGTATAACAAGGCTGTAATGAGCTGAACTTTCATGAATAGTTAAGACCTTCACTTTGGGTTTTATCAAGGTTGTTCACCAGTTAGATGAACCAATCTTAAAATTGTTGCTTAAGCTTGATTTGCTTGACAAAAAGTATTTGGACATTTAACTTGGATTCATCTGGTTCATTAACGGCTATTATGGGTGCCATTGAATAAGACATAGTACTTATAATAAATTAAATAAAATAAATTTAACTAATCATATTTAAAAATATTTTTTTTTTTTGGGGAAGGGAATTTGAACCCTTAACCTCAAGAAGGCAAAGCTTTCGCAAGATAAAGAGTACCATTAAACTAAAGGCCCATCGGTAAATTTAACTAATCATATGAACCAACAAATTAGAATAAAATTGCAACAATTTTGCAGATATCTTATGATACTATAAATGCTAATTGGTGAGCGTTTCAAATGGGTTTGATCTTTCCCAATTATCCGGTCAAGCGAGTTATAGGTTCCAAAGATTAATGAGTCTCAAATAGGGTATTGAACAATGTTACCTATACCGTGCGTCAATTTGGTATGTGGTATGGCTAAAGGTGTAGGTATACTGTACCACACTTTTTTAGGTATGCGGAGTGATGGTGGTAGGCTTAGCTAGTATGTTTTTTTGGTTTCAATTCATTTCGAAACTCTTATCTAGATTGTTTTCATTAGTATGAGAAATTATATATTTTAGCACATCCATAAACACATGGTCAATTATTATTTATTTTACATTTGTGCTCGAATTCTTATTATTGAAAATTATATATAATTATACATCCATACAAACATAGTCACTTAGCATTTATTTTAGTGCAAACTTCGCTTTACTTCCTTTTGCACATCACCTCCTTCATATTAAAAAATAACAACATAACCCCTACATGACTTGTGGACTAAAGTGCACCATTAACTATGTTTAAATACATTATCAAAAAGGCCTTGGCGCTCTCTCTTCCTCACAGGTTTAAAGTTCATTACAGACTATATAAGCGGTCCGTGTTCTGGGTAATTTGAAATGCCCAATAAAGAAAAGTAAGGTTTACAAATCACAAGCCTAATAACATTCAACACTAGTTGGACTTTTGTGCAAGTCCAGGTGTCTGGCAGCTGCAATACCCACTTACAATTTCTCTCTCTAAATATCTCTTTCTCTCCAAAGCTCTATCTTTCTCAACATTTCAAAGGATATCAGTTTTACAAAAACCCTAGAAACTCATTCTCTACCTTCGTATTTAGTTAATTACACCAAATCCTAAGTGATTTACAGTCCCAAAAAATTTGAGTCATATACCCCAATTCCTTTATAATCAACCCTTAAACAATTGTCAAAATTTGATAATATATTTACATATCAAAAATCCAATAATCACATTTTGATTTAGCTTTTTTATTTGATGTGCCTAAAGAAAATGAGAAAATGAGGCTTCCCCNTCGCAAGATAAAGAGTACCATTAAACTAAAGGCCCATCGGTAAATTTAACTAATCATATGAACCAACAAATTAGAATAAAATTGCAACAATTTTGCAGATATCTTATGATACTATAAATGCTAATTGGTGAGCGTTTCAAATGGGTTTGATCTTTCCCAATTATCCGGTCAAGCGAGTTATAGGTTCCAAAGATTAATGAGTCTCAAATAGGGTATTGAACAATGTTACCTATACCGTGCGTCAATTTGGTATGTGGTATGGCTAAAGGTGTAGGTATACTGTACCACACTTTTTTAGGTATGCGGAGTGATGGTGGTAGGCTTAGCTAGTATGTTTTTTTGGTTTCAATTCATTTCGAAACTCTTATCTAGATTGTTTTCATTAGTATGAGAAATTATATATTTTAGCACATCCATAAACACATGGTCAATTATTATTTATTTTACATTTGTGCTCGAATTCTTATTATTGAAAATTATATATAATTATACATCCATACAAACATAGTCACTTAGCATTTATTTTAGTGCAAACTTCGCTTTACTTCCTTTTGCACATCACCTCCTTCATATTAAAAAATAACAACATAACCCCTACATGACTTGTGGACTAAAGTGCACCATTAACTATGTTTAAATACATTATCAAAAAGGCCTTGGCGCTCTCTCTTCCTCACAGGTTTAAAGTTCATTACAGACTATATAAGCGGTCCGTGTTCTGGGTAATTTGAAATGCCCAATAAAGAAAAGTAAGGTTTACAAATCACAAGCCTAATAACATTCAACACTAGTTGGACTTTTGTGCAAGTCCAGGTGTCTGGCAGCTGCAATACCCACTTACAATTTCTCTCTCTAAATATCTCTTTCTCTCCAAAGCTCTATCTTTCTCAACATTTCAAAGGATATCAGTTTTACAAAAACCCTAGAAACTCATTCTCTACCTTCGTATTTAGTTAATTACACCAAATCCTAAGTGATTTACAGTCCCAAAAAATTTGAGTCATATACCCCAATTCCTTTATAATCAACCCTTAAACAATTGTCAAAATTTGATAATATATTTACATATCAAAAATCCAATAATCACATTTTGATTTAGCTTTTTTATTTGATGTGCCTAAAGAAAATGAGAAAATGAGGCTTCCCCAGCATTTGGGGTTGTGTATACTCAGCATTGAGAAGTGGAAGACATTTGTGTATTTTCTAAATATTGCAAGGGTATTTTTGTCTTTTTAAAATGTGTTTTTACATGCCTAGTCAGAACGTGGCTCACACATTCAATTAATTTGGATGGAAAATCTGACGGTGCACTAATCCACAAATCATGTGGGAGTTATGTGACTATTTTTAAAGTTGAAGAAGACAATGTGCAAATGGTTCAAAGGGGTAATGTGAAGTTTGCCCTCTATTTTATATTTGTAATATATGTTTCAAAACGAATCGATTCGGGATTAGTATTATAATTTGGAGGTTGGATATTTAGGTGATTTAGATCACGAATCTACCTCGTTTGGGACTGCTGTATTCAGGTCGTAGTCAGGTGTTTAGCGATTTATTTTTTAGTATGATGTTGAACTAGTATGAAAGATCATATCAAATGTTGCATTAAGCAAAATATAAATGACTATAGAACCTAAATTTGGCTTGGTTCATGCAAAGCTTTGAGAGGATGGTGTTTGGTTGTATTAATGATGGCTATACTTTTTGTGAACTCCCATTGATTGAGTAACCATGTGTTTTGTTAATTCAAATGCTAATATGCAACCAAGTAGTTCATATTGATGCAAATGATTTTGTCGTAGTCTTTGGAAATGATGTGTGATCCACATATAATATTTTATTGGTTCAATGCATAACTTGTTGACGGATTACTATTTTAAGTATCTTGGATGTGTATGTGTTCATCTGCTTGTTGATGGGTACCTTTCCACTTTTACACCAATGTTCATGTAAATTTCTTTGTAAAACAAGTTCATACTTTATAAGAGGTAATTGTGGTAGTTTTGCACGCCCCAATTTCCTAGACATGCGTGATCTAACTAATAACCTTTAAATCATAAGAACATATGTAATAGTGCCATTCCATAAATCAAAACAACAATATCCAACGTCATCTAAGTAAAAATTCATAAAGCTATATCTCAAGTTTACATCCAAAACTTTAAATGACAAAAACAATTTTGTGATAGCTAGATAAATGCTCATAATCAGTATTTCATCCTCAATCATCAAAAGCAAAGCTGAATTAAATCTATGCCATCCAATACTGGGCCTTAAAGTTTGGATTCAACCTCCTAATCTACATTCTAATCGAGTGTGTATCCTCCTCGACACCGAACTCTAAAAAATATTAAAGGAAGAGGTGAGCGAAACTATCCCAATAGAAATTTTTTTCCAAAACTAAGCAAGTTTTTGAAATAAATAAAAATATGTAGGTCTCAATTTGACAAAATAACACACATAGCTTTTGAGGTAAAACA